GAAATACTTTCCCAGCCTCCGATTCAGATGCCAGAGAGCCCGGAATGCCGGAATCTAGTCTGGACCATCGGGGCAGAAAGAGGCAGCTCGGCGCTGCTGGTACGGTCACTCTTGGTCACTCTGCCACAACCAACGACCTCCACCACCCTTCTGATAGTCGGTGTCGTCATGAGGTTGAGGCGGTGCTCAGCTGCTCTCCGTGCCGATCTCGGACGACCTGTCATCTCTGGCAGTTTATCTTACGGCTGCTGGACACGCCAGAGCACAATCCCAGCATAATCAGGTGGTTGGACGAGAACAAAACGACTTTCAAGTTGGTCAACAGCGCCGCGGTCGCCAGACTTTGGGGCAGCCATAAACAAAAACCAAATATGAACTACGAGACGATGGGACGCGCCCTAAGGCAAGAGCTACCAGTCGTGTGCTTATTGGTATTTTCACATGTGGCGGCAACCTCTTTTCCGCTCCATCGAATTGCCAAGCAAATATTAATGCTGTTATATCGCGAACTTTTCACCACATCGCGCGAGTTAGCGTAAATTATCGCATTGCCAAGCATCACTTGTTCCACTTGCCAAGTGTTTTCAGCTACATATGGAAATCATTGTATGACTGCCTATGGGCCTTCAATTCTGGTCCCCGTTTACGTCATATCCGAGGAAGAAGATGCCAAGGGATGCGAATCACTGGTAGTTGAACCATCGAACATGGCTTAAATAGGGACCGGAATTGAAGGTTCATAGGCAGCCAGATTTCACACAACCAGACAGTGATTTTTAGAGTAGCAGGAAACAAGTGATAAATGAGGTTGAGGGGGACTGAATGAAAGTCAAAAGTCAAGAACCAGGAGTCCTGCAAACAGCATCTGAAACCGATGGTGAAGGTGATTATGTTTCACTAAATCAACTTGAAGCGAGATACTCTTAGGTGACATGGAGAGCACAAGAACAGAGAATGGTGTGGAAAGATAAATGGGCCATTTAAAGTGGGGTTGAGAGAAAGAGATGTAGCACTGGAAAGTAGGGCAAAAAATAGTATATTGCCTTGGAAGGTAATAGATACGATCCAGATAGAAATATGTTTTATGAAGATAAAACCATATAAAAACTTTAACATTTTGGCTGCCCAAGCACAGAACAAGGACTACGAACTACTACAAACCGATTTATACACAGAATCCATTTCCTCTTTATATCTAGGTTTTTATTTCACGCTACTTATTTAGGGCAGGACTACTTATTGACAGAGTGAGTGAATATAAAGTGGATGATGGCTAATTTGGTAGTGGAGGCGTCGAAGAGAATATTAAAATCTCCTACACAATCTTCCTCACAGATCTCATCACCACCTTCAATAAAACTAGAGACGAAAGGCATAGACACAGATTTAATAACTCTTCCACGCACGAAATCAAGGCTTTTGAGGTCAAGGGCTAACTGGTATGTTGAGAAAATAATAGTGAACGAGTGATGTACAGTATTGACGTATGAACCTATAGATCTGACATGTTATCATAGATTGTAACTAACCACGAAAAACGGAATCACTTAAATAGGTAAAACAACATATATTAAAGCTTCATTTCGGGATGCTTAACTTATTTTCACAACTTATTTAGATGGAGACTATTCATATATGCCTATCATCTCACCATCAGAGGCGAAGTGAGGTCTTAATGCTTGCTGTACCTCTTGAAGAGGCCTGTGGCAGAGTTTTGGACCAAAGTTATGCAAATTAATTAATCAATTAATTAAACAAACAAATATATATATATATATGTATATAAAGAGAGAGAGAAAGAAAGAAAGAAAGAGATAGATGGATAGATTAAAATCTACCTCGGGGATGGTGCCAGTGTATTTGGCTTTATGTAAACTAGCTCTATGCGAATAAAAGCTAGACTCCGAGTTATCTCTTGGTTTTTGCTTGTTAAGCTCACTTTCCTTTTCAGGGGAGATGTGTGATAATGAAATCTTAATTTCGGTACAAGACTACGGCGGACCTATTTTGATCAGGCAAAGATTAAGACTGAAAGCAGATGCTGCGTTCGGTTCTAATTACTGTGAGCATGAAGGCACATAAGCACACGCATACATACACACCAAAACTTTTACAGATTTACATATGACTTGAATTAAACAACTCACTTTATACCCTCTTTAGAGTACTTATACAGCATGTAGGGATAGGCTTGTTCGTTTTCTTGATTAGTTTGCTTGAATATATTGTTTAGAGAATGATACCCTACTCTGAAGATGTCAGTCATAGGAAAGAAGAAAGCTTGACGCGTTTTCCTTGGAATCGAAGTAAATTATCTCAAGGACCACATCAGCAAGAATGTTTCAGTACAGCCAGCCGACAACTGGCCAGGAGGAATCCACCATCGACTTATTTTAGGATCAATGTTAAAATCTGTTCATTACACACTTTCACTCAAAATGGAAAAGAGCTGAACACTTATGCACGAAAACTCCCATCTTATTCTATCTATCACGTTGGCGAGATTAATCCAAATAGGTTGAAGAAATACCTACTTTTTATATAAGTAGGCTTCGTGACAATCAGTAATTCTTTAACAAGAACTTGGTGTCGAGCTCAATTCCATTCAGAGTGAAAGTGAGTGAAAAGATATGTGAAGTTCGATTCCATCAGGAGACAATGGTAGGGGACCCTCCTTATGTAGGCTAAAAAGTCAGGAAAACTCACCGGCTTATCCCTTAATGCTGTATGCATTTTTATTAGGCATAAAATAATTTAATTAGTTCAAGACTTATGACAAACTGGACGCATGTGAGTGTGTCTTTGTGAGTGCGCTTGGGTGCTTTCATGTGTACGTATGTGTACGAAGCAAGCAGTGATAGCTCAAAGTAATTAGGACAGAAGTTAACGTCTGCTGTCGGCCATCAAAGTTTAATGACGACCAGCACCCATTTTCTTTGTATTTTAACCATCACTCCAATTGCGTAATGTCGGACACACATCTCTTAAATTTATGAGCTTTTTCTGTGCTTTATAGAGAAAGAGTGGCCCAATACTTGTAGAAGGCGTGATTGTAAATAGAACCATTTCTAACAAAAGACTAATTGAATCGTTTTCTTTTTTTGGCGGTTCAACACCCTCTCTATCCTTTTGTCTGTCAATTAAGTATAGATAGTTCATAGTCTACTTTTTACTGGTGCTCTTGACATTAAGGGCATTGCCTAATCTATTGATTCCAATGGTCTCTCTGATTTTCCGCTTAGCTGCAGACATACCGCAATCAGCAAAAGAACAGGTTTTAAACCATTTGATCTATCTCCAGTTTCTGCTGTGTTCTGCTACCTTTAATTTTTAAAGACGCTTGTGTGTTCACGAGATGTATTCACCCTATTTCGTTCAAGATGATGAAGGAGAATGGTAGTTCAATTTTCCCACAATTATATGAGTAGAGCTCAATTGAATTTCGCGCAGCTTCACTTTCCCAAAGGGTGTTCTCATCTAGGCTGGGCTGGACTGCAGTTTCAACCTCGCCTAGGTCTTATCAACACCCCCAGGGAGACTCGAACCATGACAGCCGCATTACCACGAGTGCCCTTGGGTCAAAAAGCAGATGCGCATTTCAAGGAGGGCCAGGCATTTTTCCATATCACATTCTTTGGTACGAGTGTT